TAAATTATTAGTACTGTTAGACATAAAGAATTTCTCCAAATTTCGAGACTTAACGGACCGTCATATCATGTGATTTACATGATTACAATTGTACAATATACACAGTGTCCATTCATTACCCGTATATAGTTACAAAAAATTTGAATACATTTAGAACGTTTAGTATCATATATATGATTTTTTATTATGATTAAAGTTTAAAAAATGGAAATTTATCTAGTGCACCAAGTACAATTCTTTAGTTGCTTATTGAAATGTTCAATATCTCTAGTGCATTTTAATACATTTTTTCATGCTAATTCCATTTCAGTAAATGAATCAATGCGCTAGTAATTTACTCTCATATTTCTGCTTGGCAATTTCTATTAATTCTACAAATTCACCACTTTTTTCACACATTTCTCTAAACAACCCATCAGGTTTTTGCATCAACAGATATGGAATATCAAATTCAACTACATTTCCGGCATCTAATTTTTAGAGAGAATTAATATCTTAATCATTAAAAGTTTACTCTGAAAAAATACATACCCATAACTAGAATTCTATCATAATCTACAACCGTTCGCAACCTATGTGCAATAGTAATAATAGTATTATCTTTGAACTCTTCTCTAATTGTAGCCTGAATTAGATTATCAGTTTTAAAATCTATACTAGCAGTAGCTTCGTCCATTATAATTATTTTGGAATGACGAACTATTGCTCTGGCCATTGCAATCAGCTGCTGTTGGCCTTGAGAAAAATTTCTTCCATTTTCTTTGACAGGTGAGTCAAGCATTATTTGTTCTTTCTCGTTATTTTTTTGTTCTGAAATAGAAAGGACATTTTTTGATTCTTCCTTTTCGGAAGTAGGGTCAATTAAGTGTACACGACGAAGTGCATTCCATAACTTGGGATCTTTATGCTCATTTAATGGATCCAAGTTGCTTCTATTTTTTATTTTTTATTTTTTTAAAGAGATCCAATGCTCAGTAGCAGAAATACTTTGTTAATAAATATAAGAATCAAGTTATTTGTTTACCTTATAGTGCCATCAAATAATACGGGATCCTGAGGTATGATAGTAATATTGCTTCTAAGATCTTTTAATCCAATAGTACTAATATCAACCTTGTCAATTACAATACTTCCAGAAGTTGCTTCAATAAATCTAAAGAACGACATTGCCAATGTTGATTTTCCACAACCTATTATTTAAATGAAATTAATATTCGAATCTCAATAATTCTTAAAATGAGTTCTAAAATTTTACCAGTTCGACCAACAATTCCAATCTTCTCAGCAGCCATAATATGACTGAGATGCCTTTCAAAACTAGAGGACTATCAGGTTTATATCTAATTTCCAAATTTTTAATATGAATTTCTCCATGAGCTGGCCATCTAGGTGGTGGCCTGTTGCCCAGAATTATATTCTCAGCCTCTACTTCTAAATTGTCACTGTAGTGAACTAAACGTTCAACTGAGTTCATATTTGCTTCCTGTTATGTAATAGTAAAAAATAATTAGTAATTTAAAATAGTGGAGAACATATTTTTTCAGGTAAAGTAGCTCACGTGATCGGCAACATATGTCCGATCACGTGATCTACATTAAAAATAGTTGGCTACTACGTATAATACTTTATTGTCATGATAATGTTTAAAGTGGTTCGCTCCGGATTTATAAAATTTTCCGAGTTACTAGTTAAATTAATATTATTTACTTACTACTTCGGCACCTTCTTTAACACACCAATTTAAAGTCGTGCTAACTTACGATAGCACTAATCCAGTAATTGAGGGTGCAATATTAAATCTAAAAATTATTGCAAGCAAACCTGCAAAAAGTACTAAGATATTTGCAATAGTATCAAGGCGCACTGAAAGCCATAATTGGGCACATATAGTAAGAAAGTTCGCTCTATTTTCGATATCTAAGAATACTTCATTATTTCTATTTTATTTTAAGGAGAAAAGATTATTAAGAAAATTATACAAAAATTAATAAATATTATATTTAAAAACCTCAAAAAGCTTTCTTGTTCACGATAGGCCGGCAGCCCTGTAAGTGTCTCAGAAAAATGAGCATATAACGAAGATCTTAATACTGAACCAAGACCTGTAATAAAGAAAAATTTTTTGAGTATATATATATTTATTATTATTATTGACAGTGATGATAACAATTTATTACGCTTTAACTCCCGATTAGATGACCGATAAAAAAGTGCTGCTAGATAATAAAGTATGGTCAAAGGAACCAACGGAATAATAAACCACTTAAACACCACTACTATTAGAATAAAAGTTCCAATAGTACTCGAAAAGGTTGTAAAAAACATTCGATATGATTCAGAAAGTGAACTATCGCATGTGTCAATGTCTTTACTAAATCTGATGGTTAAATGAATTTGGATCAGAAAATATTAAAAATAAGATATTTAGCAAAGATGGGTCCCGAAAACCAAACCTTCATAAACCCTTTAGGATTAGGCTATAATATTCACTAGTTTTTATATGATAATTTGCCTAAATCCCAAATCATAAATCATAAATTACATCTCAAAATCCCAAACTGAATTTGAATTGCCAAACTGTGTGATTATTAGCATCACATAGTTTTAGTTAGAGATTAAAACTAAATTAAAACCAATATGATGCTAATTATCACATGGTTTGGACCCCAAACAGCTTGGACGGCAACTACGTATACCAGAATCCTAAACTAATGTCAAAATCCCAGATTATATAAAATATGTATGTTATCCCGGAATTAGTTTGGGATTTAATATTAGTTTGGAATTTCGGCATTAGTCGATTTCAGTGCTTGAGAATTCGGGACTTCGGATCCAGTTTGGAATTTCGACATCAGTTTGGAATTACAGCTGTTTTCATAAATTCTGTGACAACTTATAAAAATTGATCAGCCGCCGACGATAACACCGAATTCAAAAACTTATCGAATTCGGTCGAAATAATTTTTATCAGCTGTCCCAGAATTTATGAAAACAGCTGTAATGTATTAGTTCGGGATTTCTAAACTGGTTTAAGGTTTTGCAGCTATAGCCGAAATCTGAAACCTTTTAACCTGAGAATATGTTTTGGGACCCATCTCTAACGTTTAAACATGACAACTACCGATTAATAATTCTTCCTAAAGGTGTGGTATCAAAAAAACTTATTGGTGCCCTTAATACACGGTTAATTGCATTATTATGTAGTCTTTTGGCTGCTTTGGCACCGCTGTAGGAGAATGCAACACCACATAAAATACTAAAAATTCCTTGAGTGGCTCCCCATGCGCAATAAACACCCATCTATTAGTGCAAATTAAAAAATATAAATAAATTACTT